GCACTGCCAGTGTACCTGTCATTTTGGCACATAACCAGAATGAGCTACTGACCTGTCATTCCCAGGATAGACAGGCACTGCTGCTAGGTCGGTTCTGTTTGGCTGTAGCTTATGTTGGGTATATTTTCAGCTACTTTTTTTGCTTGATAGGTTTTGTAATATTTATCTCAAATATCGCAATGTCATTTTTTCCCCCACCATCGTTCATTTCTGATTGGCTGCTTGTAACATTTCAGGTTACGCTTTTGCGGCAGTGAGTGTCGTCTCATTTTGTATGGAAATAAATGACTGGAGTCACCTATAAACCAGAGAAGTATTGATAGGTTTGTGTTGTTAAAAAGTAAAGAAATCGCCGTTCACCACCACTGCCCAAGGCACGAGGCTATTAAACGTCTTTGTGTGCTACTGCACTTCAGCTAACTTCAGTTTAATTTAATTTCTGTTTAATTTAATTTATTCAAGGTGCTTATTCTTTTATATCAGTGAGTAATATTTTATTTTGTATGTAAAGAAATACTTATTTTGATGCATTATTTGATTGGAATAATCATCTGCTGGCTAAAAGATGTCCTGCCACTGGGCACCTCTCTGTCTGTCTGTCTCTCTGTCTGTCTGTCTCTCTCTCTCTGTCTGTCTCTGTCTGTCTCTCTCTCTCTCTGTCTGTCTCTGTCTGTCTCTCTCTCTCTCTGTCTCTCTCTGTCTGTCTGTCTCTCTCTCTGTCTGTCTGTCTGTCTGTCTCTCTCTGTCTCTGTCTGTCTGTCTCTCTCTCTCTGTCTCTCTCTAGTCCTAATGAAATGTTCAGGTAATGAGCAAGTAGAAAATACTGTCTTTGCACATCACCCTTAAACGGAAGTTGTGCGCCTGGGAGATGTCAGGTCTGGGATAAGATGGCGTTGTCTCTCTCTGATGCTGCATGCTGTAGTGTGACACTGATTCACAGGCTGAGCACCTGTACTTAGGGACAGCTCTGCGTATGGACACTGTCTCACATGAAATTGAAGAAGCAGCCTCCTTAGTCTTACTCCTACAGATCAACTTACCTCCATGCCCTACCTTTTCGTGTGCCTGCCATGCTCACACTGTTCCCCGTGTGCGTGCCATGCTCTTGCTGCCCCCCTCGCTCTCCATCCCCGTCCTGATCCTGTAGATTAGGCCCTCACCCTCGTGTGCCTGGCATGCTCTTACTGCCCCTCTCCTGTCCTCCTGTCAGTGCGCCCCACCAGTCTGTGTGCCCGCCTTTCTCTCAGCACCCTCACCTTCCCGTCTGCCCTCCTCGCTCTCCGTGCCCCCTGCCTGCCCGCCTTACTCTCAGTGCGCCCCACCAGTCCGTGTGCCCACCTCACTCTCCGTGCCCCCTGCCTGCCCGCCTTACTCTCAGTGCGCCCCACCTGTCCGTGTGCCCGCCTCTCTCTCAGCACCCTCACCTTCCCGTCTGCCCCCCTCGCTCACGTGCCCCCTGCCTGCCCGCCTTACTCTCAGTGCGCCCCACCAGTCCGTGTGCCCGCCTCTCTCTCAGCACCCTCACCTTCCCGTCTGCCCCCCTCGCTCACGTGCCCCCGCACTGAAGTGCTGCTGCCTTTTGTTTCTGCTCGCGTTGTGGTTATTAGCCCAGCAGCCTTGCCCTAGGGACCGAGGTCCTTCCCCTGGGGGGCCAGAGTGTGGAAAACTAAGCCCCACTAGAGGAGGGGGCCAAACCCTGTGCCCTGTGTTCCCCCATAGGCACACATGGGAATATCGGGCACACGGGGGTGGATGTGTGCTCAGGCTAGTAACGGTCAGGTGTTTCTTCATGCTTGTATTTTATGGTGTAATGTCTTAATTGGTAGGATCTTGTTTTTCTTGTGTTTCACGATGGTTTTGTCCCATATTTCCCATATCAAGTCACTACTGTTAGTTCTGTTATTTAACGGAATATGAGCTACATTTTACATTTATCGTGGTAATAATATATATATAACAGCAAATAGACTTTGTGGTTCTTCTGTTTCTCCCTCTTCCTGCTGTCATTTTGATTGTCTGATTGTCCTTTTGCTGTTCTCAGTAGTTTCCCGCTTTTCTTTATTTTTGCAGGAGTTCTTCGAGCATGCAAAGAAACTGTGGGATGATGAAGGAGTGAAGGCCTGCTTCGAGAGATCCAACGAGTACCAGCTCATCGACTGTGCGCAGTAGTGAGTGTCTGCCTCCTAGTGGCCGCCCCTGGGCCATGTCTGTCTGTCAGTCCACCTTCGAAATAAGCAGCAGAGGGGCCTTCACCTTCCTCCAGTGCTTTACGTACAAAGCAGTCGCTCTGCAAAGACACCGTGCAGTGGGTTCCTCTGTGTCCACTCTCTGTCAGGACGGTGCATTCGGGCTGCACTTTGGCCGTCGGTTTGAAGTGGCACAAATAAACAGCCGAAACGATGAACCGTTTCCAGGAGCAGAGAGCAGATGGCGGGAGGCGTGTTTAGTCCAGGGTGTTTTGGTCGCCCTCTTTCGGCATCATCGGTAGCCCCTTCCACACATGGGGCGCCTCCTTGCCGCACTCACTAAGGGAACCGTACTGTAGGGGGCGCTCTGCTCAACTGCTGCCATTCGTAGTTGGCATCCCAAGGTGGCAGTTGGCGAGCTTTAACGGTGCACACTGCCGTGGTCACCGTATCCTAGCAACCAAAGGCAGGGTGCTGGCTGACCTTGCTCTCCATAGCTGTGTTCCCAGATCTCGGCTGCAGTCGTCCTGGACTGAATGACTGACTTTTACTCTTCCTCCAAGAGCTCAGTGATGACCCCCAAGCTGCAACAGCAGCAGTGACCCTGCGTGAGGCGCTGTCCTGCCTGTTAGCTTTTCTCAGTTACCTGCTTGGAAAAGACTCAATGTTTAATAGTAAATACTAAATGCCTTGTTTTTCTGGTTCATAATCATCCGTTTGCGGTCATAGGAGGAAGTTCGGTTTGCAGACGCCACCTGTATAAGCAGCTTCCTGTTTCCTCCTCCTCTCCTCTCCTCATTCAAATACATGAAGGAGATGTGATGAAATTACCGTCCTTTGGACCTGTGGACAATCACTGGCAACTTTTGGTTTTCCTTTGATCCTATATCCGCTGTGGTGGGGAATGGGGTGTGTCACGTCCGGTCTCCTTCCATATGCGGACAGGGAACGTGTTGCCCCGTAACAGGGAGTGCTGAAGGACCTGACCTGATCTCCATTTCATGGGGTGACCGTGATGATGATGCAATGGATGTTTGTAAATGTGAAGTACAAAGCAAAGATGGTAACCAGGGGCAAAGCAAACAGACGAGTCCTTCCTCTTTCCTTTGGTTTTATCTTATTGTTTACTTTTATAGTTCATTATTGCATGTTTTCATCTACATTTTGTAATATGGGCAAAAAAATCCAGACTTATGTAAAACCTTTCAGTAAGATTGCAACCCCTCCCAGTGTCACATAAACAGCATTTCCCACAATTCTGCTCATTCAGCTGCCATCTCCCTCCCGTGGCCATGTGCTCTTTATTGCACGAGATGTGTGCGGCTCACAGAAAGACCCTCAGAGCTTCGCCAGCTGATTCCGACCACGTGGGTCCTTCCCGTTTGCAGTGGGCTATCTCAGCCCTCTTCTCGCTACTCTCGGAAATGGCATATTGGCTCCAGGTCCTAAGATACCAATGGCTATCACATGATTAATCGCCAGAGGAAACTGTGGCACGCTCATGCCATCCCTCTGCTCTCCGCCCATCCCCCTCCCTCTGCTCTCCTGTAGTTTTGATGCGCATCCTTATCTCCCGCTGGCTCCCTCTGCTCTCCTGTAGTTTTGATGCGCATCCTTATCTCCCGCTGGCTCCCTCTGCTCTCCTGTAGTTTTGATGCGCTTCCTTATCTCCCGCTGGCTCCCT